CTTACCATGTGCCTGGCATGGATGCTCAGCGCGTGCACTTGAGCGGGTGTTCTTACCATGTGCCTGGCATCGAGACAGTGCTAAGCGGGTGCGCTTGAACGGGTGTTCTTACCATGTGCCTGGCATGGATACAGCGCTAAGCGGGTGCACTTGAACGGGTGTTCTTACCATGTGCCTGGCATGGATACAGTGCTAAGCGGGTGCACTTGAACGGGTGTTCTTACCATGTGCCTGGCATGGATACAGTGCTAAGCGGGTGCACTTGAACGGGTGTTCTTACCATGTGCCTGGCATGGATACAGTGCTAAGCGGGTGCACTTGAACTGGTGTTCTCTTACCATGTGCCTGGCATGGATACAGTGCTAAGCGGGTGCACTTGAACGGGTGTTCTTACCATGTGCCTGGCATGGATACAGTGCTAAGCGGGTGCGGACATGCTATATTTGGTAGTGTTGAACGCTCTCGGGTCTCGGGTCTTGGGTCTTGGGTCCTATCTCGGGTCTTGGATTCTCGGGTCTCGGAGTCTCGGATCTCGGAGTCTCGGGTCTTGGAGTCTCTGGTCTCGAGTCTCGGGGTCTCGGTTCTCGGGTCTCGGAGTCAGGGTTTCGGGTCTCAGGTCTTGGGTCTCGGGTCTCGGGTCTCGGAGTCTCAAGTCTCAGGGTTTCGGGTCTCAGGTCTCGGGTCTCGGGTCTCGGGTCTCAGGTCTCGGGTCTCGGGTCTCGGGTCTCGGGTCTCAGGTCTCGGGTCTCGGGTCTCGGGTCTCGGGTCTCGGGTCTCGGGTCTCGGGTCTCGGATCTCGGATCTCGGGTCTCGGGTCTCGGGTCTCGGGGTCTCGGGTCTCGGGTTTCGGGTCTCGGATCTCGGGTCTCGCGTCTCGGGTCTCGGGTCTCGGATCTCGGGTCTCGGGTCTCGGGTCTCGGGTCTCGGGTCTCGGGTCTCGGGTCGCGCTCGTTGTCAAGTGCGTTCTGGCAAATTTGCAAAGAACCTGGCAGGACTTGCTCTAGGCAAGCTGCGCAAGGAGTTGTCCAAAGAGGCACGCACTGCCGAAGGGCTGCTGTGGGCCGACTGGAGCAACTTCCTCGCTCTGGGTTCAGCTCAGAAGCTTTGAGTGTCAGCAACTATGCGGCACTGCGCAGACTGCAAGGATGAACTTGAGGGGTGCGATAAACGAAAGCTAGCCACGGATGCCTTACCCGACTCAAACAAAAGCAGCTACACTGGGTCAAAAAGCTGCTACGATGGCGCAAGACGGTCATGGAGCGCAATGCGGGTGGCTATCGGTTGCTTGCCTCTTTGTTGTTTGCCTGTCTGATGTTTGTCTGTTGGTTGGTGGGTTGGTTGGTTGGTTGGTTGGCTGGTATTTGTGTTGCTCTTTCCTGGAATTGTGTGTTGCTGTTTGCTTTTGTTTGGTTCGGTTTGATTCTGTTTTGCCTGCGCCCTCCTCAGGCCTACAGCGGTGATCGCTTCTGTTTGTTTTTGTCCTTTCTTTTTGTGCTTTTGCCTGCTGCTTTTGCCTGCTTTTGCCTGCTTTTGCCTGCTTTTGCCTGCTTTTGCCTGCTTTTGCCTGCTTTTGCCTGCTTTTGCCTGCTGCTTTTGCCTGCTGCTTTTGCCTGCTGCTTTTGCCAGCTGCTTTTGCCAGCTGCTTTTGCCAGCTGCTTTTGCCTGCTTTTGCCTGCTTTTGCCTGCTTTTGCCTGCTTTTGTGCCAGCTGCTTTTGCCATTGCCTGCTTTTGCCTGCTTTTGCCTGCTTTTGCCTGCTTTTGCCTGCTTTTGCCTGCTTTTGCCTGCTTTTGCCTGCTGCTTTTGCCTGCTGCTTTTGCCTGCTGCTTTTGCCAGCTGCTTTTGCCAGCTGCTTTTGCCAGCTGCTTTTGCCTGCTTTTGCCTGCTTTTGCCTGCTTTTGCCTGCTTTTGCCTGCTTTTGCCTGCTTTTGCCTGCTTTTGCCTGCTGTTGCCTGCTTTTGTCTGCTTTTGCCAGCTTTTGCCAGCTTTTGCCAGCTTTTGCCAGCTTTTGCCTGCTTTTGCCTGCTGTTGCCTGCTGCTTTTGCCTGCTGCTTTTGCCTGCTGCTTTTGCCTGCTTTTGCCTGCTTTTGCCAGCTGTTGCCAGCTTTTGCCAGCTTTTGCCAGCTTTTGCCAGCTTTTGCCAGCTTTTGCCAGCTTTTGCCAGCTTTTGCCAGCTTTTGCCTGCTTTTGCCAGCTTTTGCCAGCTTTTGCCTGCTTTTGCCAGCTTTTGCCAGCTTTTGCCAGCTTTTGTGATAAAGAAGGAGGGGCACCTTGGCAGCTTTGCCAGCTTTGTGCCAGCTTTTGGCCTGCTGTTGCCCACTGTTTCCCAGCTTTTGCCAGCTTTTGCCAGCTTTTGCCAGCTTTTGCCAGCTTTTGCCTGCTGTTGCCTGCTGTTGCCTGCTGTTGCCTGCTGTTGCCTGCT